ATAAAACAAAACCAAGTGTGTGTTCAGATGCGAACATGTACAGATACGACGTCATAAACGCATTAAGTTTATAAATGACTTGACCTTCTAAAATAAATATATCCTAGTCTCTAACTAAAGTAGAATTTATCAGGTATTAAAAACTCATGTRAAACAGTAGAAAAACTACTATAAGAGTTAACAATTATAAAAACCTAAYGGCCAATCTCACGTGGTAATAAAGCACCGCAGCTTTCTTATGTGTGTTTCTTGGCACCTTTCTTGCATGCGCTGATCCAACCCTACGAATCTGCCACCTGCTGATGAGCGAGCGGATTTACAGCTTGGTCTTACGGAGCAACCAGGGGAAGGTGGAACCATGCTGCGTTTCAGCTTTCAGGCTTTTGAAGGAATGTGGGGCACAGCAAACCAACCAACCAACCAACCAACCAACCATTTGTTTAAACAAAACCTACCTGCATGTCTTTCCTGTCTGCAGTCTGGCCTGAAAAGGCCACACTGTCAGGTACAGGCCTGAGACCTCCCTGTCTCCTTGGGACTGAGACTTGGGATCTTCATTTTTTATGTGGGTAGCTAGGCAGGGGTGAACATATGTAAGTTTTCTATCCTGTAATAGTTAGGGATGTACATACAGTGATGGACTTACGGAGTAGGAAGATGAAGGCATCCAATTGTGCATATTCCACCTGGTCTGAAGTGGTTCACCCACTGCTGCAAATGTTATATGTGTTATCTGTAAGCAGACCTTCACCATCTGCACTATAAGGTCAATGAAGCAGCTGCCCTTTGGGCTGTATGGACTGGAAGGGACACAAACAGAATTACAGCACTCCTTCCCACCACAGTGGGACAGCACTCCTTCCCACCACAGGCCAACAATCATCAAAAGAAGGCTTGAACCAAACACTGTTACTAGATTTTTTCTTGACATAGTGTCTGTAGGTGGCTTTCATGTAACGTATTGCTAGCTGCACTTGAAGAAAGCTCCAGTTCCTTGAGCTTGGCTAATCCAGTAAGAGTTCACCCACCCAGGTGTGTTTTGTGATAGGAGACAGGCTCTTCCCACTGGGAACGGTCCTGTAGCTGCTCCAAGAGCGCGATCCTGGTGCTYGGTGAAGCCTCGGCACAAGCCATACACCATTTGGATAATTTCAGGCTATAAGTTCAAAGGGAAAATCAGATGTACCTTCCTACAGACTTTGCCTTGCCTGCCATCTCTCACCTGTTTCCAGCGCACTTTGCAAGTAGAGCTCGTAGCTGGTCTCTGTTGTTGACAATATCTTGCTATGTGGTGATTCACCTGGGATGTTACGGTGCTCTGCAATGCAGSTCTAATGCTCTCAAGCACTAAAGGCTAAGAGAAACCTTTCCACAGTGTCATCCCGGTCTTGGAAGCAGGAAACACATTCATACCCTGCGCGCTCTGCATTTGCAGGGGTACATCGAACATACCAGAGACAGCACAGCAGGGTTTGTTTCTTCACTTGGCAGGACGAAGGGCAGCGTATAACCATTGGGGTTACGGTCCCCTTAAATTCAAAAGTGAGGTTACCTTTCTCTCCTTTTATTTTCTATTYATTTTTACTTGCTGGTCTATGCAGATCTATGGCTTCTGTGGCTATGTCTCCATTAGCAAGCGGCGCAGTCTGAAAACAGTGGAATTTTAAACCACAGCAGTGTCCCTGACCCAACATCCACACACATTACACGGTTCAGGGTGTTTGTTTTCTGCCAGTCCTGGTCTGACCCAGTGAACGAGCCATCCTGCAGCAGCTGAAGTACCTTGGATGCCTTCAAGCACAACTTCTACTTTAACTTCATCCAAAAGAAACCCAGCTCATAAACTCCAAACTCACGTTACAGTAACTCGTAATGACTGTAAGATTTCACTCCTAATGTGAGCACATYTGTTAATGTGCTAAAATTAACAAATCATATACTTATAACACTCTCTCCCCTCATACCATGTAGACCTTACAGGCTTCCATCAGTCCCTAACACAACATAATGCTTTAYTAAGGTGAGCTGTTCAGCCCACCAGCAGCCCCCTAACCTTGTCAGACAGACACAACGACACATCCTGAGAGACCATGGCCCTGTTGGAGTAACGTCCCTGAGTCCACGTGCTGCTGAAACCTCAAAGGATCTTGGAAGCAAAGGCCGRGTGGAAAAGCGTCTGATCTTCACCTCCCAGAACAGGAGAGCATCTGCTGCGGCAGCTATTGGGCCTGGGAGCAGATCGTGGCCTCTCGGGTTCTTCCACACACAGCAACGTTGCCTCCTAAAGAGAATTTCRTGCTGCAACCGTGTCCGTGTCGGACAGCATTTTCTGTTTTGCYCCTAGACAAAAGATACCTCATTCTCATACTGCTTCTAAATACAAAGAACAGAATTTGGAATTAGACACTGGATTGCTAGTATCTAGTTACTGTCCTATCTATCAAAATCTCAATCTTACAACTCGGTGCTAGTAAGGAACATTCAAATTCTTCTTTYGGTTTTTCTTACTTGCCTCACTAATCATGAGACAATGCTAATGGACACCAAAAATACATTAACTTTTAAGTTTAATGAAAAAAGCCAAATCTTACAAGTTTTAGAACTATATATTTCCAAATAATTTGTATTTACCCCTCTGAAGGGTTAGATGAAGAGAACAGGACATTCAGACTGTAAGCTTTCTATAGTAAATTTTACCAGCTTAGAGACAGTGTATTGGAAACTCACCCAAATGATTTCATGGTATTTTGAAGTACCTGTTAAGGCCACTAGTTAAGAGCTTTTCGGAGCAGCGAGTCACATGGATACGCTGCACTCTGAAGACATGGCCATTTCTTTCAGGCAGACCTACCTCGCAGAAGTCCAGAAATAAAGAACCCCCCCCAGCAACACATGGTTGAAATGTTAACAGCCCTCAGGTTTAATTCAGTCCYTTAATTCACTCACTGTCACCCTCTGAAGTTGGAAATGGAGGCTATCTTAGAGATTATTTCTTACTACGAGACAGCTATCTTATCATCACTTAAAAAAAAATAATAAAATAAAAAAGCATTTGAACATCTCTGTGAAACCACTAATGCTCCTACTGGAAGCGACCACTGCCCAGCCTGACAGTTGATTCCTCAAGCTGTGAAATCAGAAAGATTTTAGAAGGCTRGGCAAGACCCAACTACTTTGTATAGTAATGCTGGCAACTGATTTTTCCCTCCTCAAATATCCCAAAACTGTCAAATAGCCAGATCAGCTTTACATATGTCATATTTCCTCTCTTCAAGCGTGGCAAGTCTGTGGGACTCGCGGCAACTTAGGCTTTTAGACGTAGAAAAAGGTAGCTTGACATAAGGGAGGCCTAGCTTAGCCTGAGTAGCTGAGCTTTGGATTTCCCCAGAGAGAAGCAGCGACCGCCAGGAAGAATAGCAGCTGGAGAGTCTCACGGAGGAGGAACCAGAATCAGGCGTTCTGCCTAGGAATGCAAGGACAAATGGTTGTGCAGGATGCCTGTTATCAGTAGAGTCAAAACTGCAAATGTATCTGTGCCAAATTGTGGGAATAACTGTGCATTGTACAAAATGATACAAAAGAGCGATGATTACAATAAAGCTTTGGCATTAGCAACATTATTATTGGATGCATATGCTTTGTCCGTGGCTTTGCCAGGTGCTGCAACACAAGTCATTAAGAACAACAGACTCAAATGACAGCTTCAAATCTGCTGCTTCTCAGGCCGTGTTTGCACAGGAATTACAACGGGAATTGCACGTGGTCAAAGCCAAAAGTGYTGCAGTTGCTTAGATCATCTTTAGAAAAAGTACAAAAGTCTTCAAAGTGTAGCATAGCATTTATAGTACGAAATCAAGGTAAAACACAAACCACAGGCAGCAGGTGTAGSACAGCACAAGCAAAGAGGCTGAAGCTCCGGCCACACGTCAGGGAGAGGAGSAGCTGCGTTACAGAGGGCGGCTATCGGAGCCCCTCCAAACAGCGGCACTTGCAGAAAAAGCCTCCAGACAGACAGTGCCAAGGCCATCAACAGTCTTTACTTCTATCAGTTGTTTCACAGCACAACGAGACACAACACAGAGTTTRTACAGCAGCCATCTGCAGACAGTTTAAAAACAGGCAATTATCTTTAATAAAGAGCAGCAAGTCTGAAGGTAAAAATATGAAGACAAATGATATTGCAGATAATSGTCTCTCTCTTGCCTCAGTCCAGCTCATGGACTTCTCGTGGTGCCTTTAATTCACACCACGTTCTCCAAACACCCTACTTGGTGTGACGCTCAAAGGGCCCAGCTACTACGTGCAGGGTATATTCCATAACCTCTTCACCTTGCCTTAAACTCTGTTTGCAGCGTATGGTGCAATGCAACGAATTATCATACAACATCATCTTGGTTCACAAAGAAGCAGCACAATATTTCATGCAGTGTTGTACATAATTTAATTTGCACTTCCGTATATAAATGTTTACTATATTGCACACTATTGCAGCACTTAAAAACATCTAATATTTGCAAAAATTAGTAAAATACTTTAAAGGATTTAAAAATAAGGGTTTTAATGCAACTGACAAGATAATAAAAAAGCAATTTACTTAATGAGATACAATCCTTTATGTTGGAAACAAAAGTTACATACAACTAGAGTACAATTAAAATATACCATATAGTTCAACACTGAATTCCTCAAATGTGTAAAATTAACAAGCCTCTACTGTCATAGATATACAATTTCCCATACTGTGAAAAGGATTTTTGAAATGAAATACAGGTAACATAATATTCTGTAGTTATATTTTTATGACTGTGTTTAAATGAGAGGATTGAATAATACATTRTCAAATATACTCGCTAATGCCTTGGAAACTGCACACTTCCCCTCCTTGTCCATAATAGATTCTCATCTCCATACTGAAGTCTATTATGCCATATTGGAAAAGTATTTTACTGTAACTTTTTATAATATTAAAAAATAGCATAATATCATGGAATTAAGATGGCTTTTTTTTTTTTTTCTGTGCCCAAGAAGAATTCAATCTGGGTATCAGACAGCCAGGTCAGAACCAATTTCCTAGACTTTTGTCTTATTGTACACGCATCTTGAATGATTACAGTATTTTACAAAACAGAATATCTCTGAACCCTATTCTAAAGGTAATGATTGAAAATTAAAATCATAACAGAATCAAATTGTGATCTCCAGCATTTATTAAAATCTTTTAAAGTTCATAAACGACAACAAAGTTACTGTAGAATTTATCGCATACAGCTAGCATACAACAGCATGTCCTTGGTCTAAATGAAATACAAAAGATTTTAACATTTTCATACAAAGGATTTCTTTAAATTTATTAATGTGACGATATATCTTTGTTACATAAAATTTGCTACAGCAAAGTATCTTATACTTTTCTTGCACATATGTAAATATGGGTGGACAAAGACTGCATTCAGTGTCAGCCTCCTAATGACGTTGTGCAAAAATGCTCAACAACCTAAACATACAGAATGATGGATGTTACATTTCATACTGTTTCGTAAAACGTCTACAAAGGTCTTTCTTAAAGGAGTGCCATACAGATTAAAAGGAAGTATTGCCAGTGGCTTATTTTCACTGACATTCAAACAATAACAGTGGCTACGTATAGCTCAGTTTTATTAAAAACAATTCATCCTTGTATGCAGGTAAATTGATCGTAAAATGAGTCTAGTTTAAACTGTTCAGATGTGCCAGTTTAAGACAGGTCACTGAAATAGTCAGAATCAAGTGTACAAATAAAACTACTATGAATAAGTTTAAAAGCAACCCCGAAAAAAGTGCTGAGCCACTGATTATTAACATTGAAATAAATGTGTAAAAGTGCCCAAAGCTAGCACATGGTAGCAGTACTTTTTAAGTCAGTTGGTGAGAGTATACAAAACATAATTAAGCCCAAATACTTATATCTGTGTGACCATACATTCTGTTTGATTGAAAGAAAGTAGGTTAGAAATGAAGACACAATGCAACTAAAATAAACCCAGCTGTGGCAGCTTTTAAACTTTGTCTCTTTTCCCTGTGAATGAAGTGCTGTAATTAAGCAGAAAATGATTGTAGCAGTACTCCATCCTCGGTTTACTAATATAGTATACCAGAATAAAAACTTGGCAATAACCTCTTTTATTCTTAACAGCTAACAAAAAATAACCGTGTTGATCCAGCAATGCATCCATAACATGAGTTTGCATTTGCTAAACCTTTTGTTTTTTCACAGCTAATGGCAGAGCACATTTTGCTTTTTGTTTTTTTTGAAACAGATGCCTTTTTTAAAATCAAAAAAAAAAAAGGCTTAAAACAACAAATACTTCAGGAGCCCTAATATTGGCATAAAAATGAAAAAAAAAGAAAAAAGAAAAGAAAAAGGGAATCAAAATGACTAATTCTCTACAATACTGACCAAGACTTCCTTTAAGAATTTAGGGTTCTTGTTGTTAAAAAAAAAAGCCATTTAATACCTGCCAACTGAAATGCTGGTAAGTTGAGTTGGTTAAATATGGTCCAAAATCCAGACCAGGTGGATTACTCCCTGTCACAAGCCTGCAAGCTTTCCATGGTACAGCCTGGCGACGGTCATTTACCTACTGCCGAGGTGAGGAATACAAAGGAAGGAGGCAGTGACAAAAACTGCAGGGATGTAGAAAACCAAGGCACGGGGTCTAGCTACTGTCCCCTACTTAAGCCATCCAATTGATTCTACTGAATTTGGTCAGTCTCCAGGAAGAAATGTTTTTAAATTAATTTAGCAGACATTTATATGGCGATAAATACTACCTTCAAAAATGCTAAAAATGTTGGCTAGGTTTAAGTCTGAGGTACTAAAAAAAACGTRTTATAAATTGTAGCCTCAGACACAAGACGAACAAGAATTATTGGCTGGCACAGACTAGAAGCAACATTTATCTTTCACTTCAGTCTAAATCACACTAGCCGCAACACCTTCCATTTCACTCACACAAATAATACATTATTCAAAATAAAATGGAGCATTCTTGGGTAAAAAACTACTTCATTTTAAAGGGGGAAAATGAACAATACACAGAAACAAAGGAACGACAGAAACCAAAGTTAAGTAGGAAAGTGGTCTAGTATTCTGTGTTACTGCACAAACAGTGCTTGCTTAATTGTGCCTAGTTAGAAGGGTTGGTGCAAACCGCACACATGGAAGATGGCAATAACGACCTCAGTCAGCTTTGTGGAATGAAGTAACTAGGTAACTGCTTTGACATATGTCGGTCTCAGCTCCACCTCATCTGTTAACAGAGTGCAAAGATCCCAGTGTGAGCCCTGATGTCATCTTGTCCTCTTACTCCTACTAAAAATCAGCAAATTCTTTTGCACATTTTTCTGTTAGCGACACACGAATATCTTCTTCTTCATAGTCATCAAAGTTGCTGGTATCTCCAGGGCCTCTGCACTTTGGTATGAACGGAGCTTCTACCTGTATTTGGAAGAAAAAGCACATAAAATGTTATCAGCTGTCAGATTTCGCAAGAAAATACACATGGCAAAACACATCTCAAATCTTGTCAAGAAAGCTTAATTTTGATAGTAAAGTGAACTGCCTTACATTTTTGGCACATATTTTAAGCGAATCTAGAAGGTGTGGGAATRTAAGTTAAAAAGGACTAATACACATGATTTAATCTCCTTCTCTCACTGGATGATAAGAATCCTGTCAGACTGAAAACAAGCAAAACCCCAAAAGTAAAAACCAAACAACACTGAAAACATCCCCGTCTCTTAGCTCACAAGTTGTGAAGTGGGACCTGCAGGGAACAGAAATGATGTCACAAGAGTCATCAAGTATGTAGAACATACAACAGAGCTCAGAGCACACGAAATAGCTTATTCAGAGCCCAGATTTTAAAACCAGTTCAAATGACATAACTCAGGTAGGAAAAAGTTTGTGAGATGTAGGGGGAAAAAAAACAGAACAAAACAAAAAAATCCCACACATCTTCCCTAAAATAATACCTCAAAAGTGACTATAGGGGGTAATACTGGTTTCCAAGGAAAATATCTGCCTAGCCTTMAGTACAACCATATTATCAAGCCATATTTTAATAAACAGCTATGCAAATACAAAGAAAATAATTATCTAATTTATCTGAATTACGGTATTTATATTAAGGATTTACATATATACACTTATACAAAATATGACTATCATAACAATATTATTTACATTACTTGTCAAGGAACCGCTTTTACTTTATAAACTGGATTTATTCAAGAGTAAGAAAATGCCATAGTAAGAGAGGGTATAAAACATAGGTTTATTGATGTCTATTATAATTTAAACAATTGTTAAAAGACACTGTTTTAGATCCCTTGTAAAATGGTATTGGTTCATTTTAATTGTTTCAAAAAAAGTCAGCATTAGGTCTCACAATCCCACTAGTAACAGCTATTCTGACTGTACTACTGGTTTACATTTCAGACTACTACTTGTTTCTATAAAACTAATTCTTAGCACTGCTAGTGTGCCGCTGTAGAATGCAGAACTGAAACATAAGATTTAATGTTATGGGGCCAGGGTGTCACAAAATGGCATACCAGGGAATAAAACACATTGCAGAGAAAAATATTCTGTAAATAGGCATTAAGAAAAGATAATTACACTTCTGCAATGGGGAATCTTTTCTTAAAACATCYGTACTTAATATAAAGGATACAAGATGKGTTAATAGTATCCCGTCTCCTAGTAATTAATACATTAGTGAATGGTGCAACAACTGCACTGTCAATTTGTGTAGCCAAGCAAGTGGTTTCTTTTTAGAAACTACTGTTAGTATTTAGGTTTGGCCTTTAAAACACTCCCATGGCAGCAGCAAGTTCATGCCTCCGTAGCCAAGTCTGCTGGGATTTCAGTGTGCACCAGTTCCTTGAAGCATCACCACTTCGCCAACATCCTTACCAATATCTAGGTTAAAAAAATATTTCTCTAGCTGAATTATCTGGGATAGCACTGAAGCTATTAGCTGTCTATTTAAAAACAATGTTCAGAGGTTGCACTTAAGAGAACAAATAATTTCCTGGGTATCTGTGTCTGACAGCTCACTATTCCGCAGTTATTTAGCTGTGGCTCTCCATCAGAAGRACAGCAGGCTGGAGAGCTGCTGGAAGGCAGATCTAGCCAGAGGTGTCATCAGCCTGCGCTCCTCCCCTCAGCCTCCTCTCCCAGCTCCTCGCCCTGCCAGGGGGGAACGTGTGTCTCCGATTTCTTAGTGGCTGCTCATGCTCTGAGAACCTGCCTTCATCGGAACCTCCCTCCTGCCTTCATTCCTAGGCAGGGCTCCGTTCAAGAGAGACACTTGGCACTGACCCTTCTTTAAAAACCACACACACACACACACACACTACAATTGATGCCGGTCAAGCAGGTCTAAAAAATCCTTCTAAGAGAGTGATCAGCAGGGCTCTTAGTGCTGTGTTTCCACAGCTTATGGAGCTACACCTAAAGTGTAGTGTGAGAATAGAAGTCCTCAGTGGACAGAAATCTCTACATGAGARCCCTGCCCAGTCCCAGATAAGAAGCCTCCGAGAGGAGGAACGAGGGCACATGCCTCGGATGAAAAAGAGGCGCTCCAGTCAACTCGGAAAGAGCAGCTCCAGCTTTGGCTTGAAAATCTCCATGCCAAAGCAGTCTGACTCTAGCTGGAAAGGATACAGTTTCCTCTGGGCTGTGCAGGAGTTTTTATAGATCCTGCTCTAGTGGGGCTTAGCAAGGGAAGCAAGAGTCAGCTCATCCTGGGAGAGTCAGGAAACAGAGCAAAGTACATCATGTTACCAGAGCAGGAGGCACACAGACGCCAAGGGATAAGTTTGTCTGTTGTTGGTATTTTAAGTCTCTCAATACATACTCCTCCGAGTCTTAAATTTAAACTACTTTCACCTATTCTTAGTTCAATTAATCTGATAGATTTAGGACAGAAAAATAAGCAAAGTAATTAGAAAAATAAATTTCACTTCCTCTCCAAAAATCTCTGATAGTTTTGATAAGAAGGTGTCTTACCTTTCTCTGATAAATGGCAATCCAATCTGTAGTTGCAAACCACTTGTGGTTCTTTATGTCATTTACACCATTCTTGAGATTTCCATATCGTTTGGTCAAATCTACCTGGAGTAAATTTCTTAGAAGATCCTTTAGGTCTGAACTGAAGTGTGATGGAAACCGTACCTGAAAATATATATATCCATCATATTAAAAATAATATATAAATTTGATTCTTCTGTGTGATGAAACAATGTTTATACAAAAGGAAGCTTTGGGGCCATTTTCTGTTCTTCTGAATACACATCAAGCTAGAATGTGGGAAATGAGACAATTATAATTGCATGGCCATTTCTGCTCCACAGAGCCTGTAATTAATGGCATCACCTTGTCCATCTTCCAATTCCTTAACTGGGATTTTTACATCTAACTGAGCAGAAGGAAAATATTACTGTAATGCAAGCATGACACAAAAGATGTATTTAACTTTGTCTATTTTGTGTTTCAGCAACACATGTCAAGTCATTCTCAGCTTGATAGCTTCTAGGATCAATTCTTTTTTATATATATATATGCGCATGCATATATATGTATTTATATACATATATTTGTACACAAACACACAGAGTACAGTGTGTACACACATACACTGAAGTAATTCTACATTCTGCAGTCATACACAAAAATCCAATTTGGGACTTTATGTTATCCTGTAATCTGTTCCTGATATCTAAGTTTTTAGATTGGTGGATTTAGTCAAGTACCACAACACTGGTTTAACACAGCATGTGAACAAGTTTTCCTTGCCAACAAAATTCATTCCAACCTGGCTAAGAAATACTCAAAGATCATTCACAGGATATACTAGAAGACTTTGAAACTGAAGTGTGGAGAAAGGAAAAGAAAKCAGCCAAAATTTTTTCTTTGTCATGCCCATAGTTCTCAATATTTGACACTTGCTATATTTAGCTGGCTAGTTGTGAAATAAATACAGAACACAGAATTATCTGAAATAAAAATATAATGTGGAATCTAGAGGTCTGATTACCAAGGACACTAAAATTTATCTGTCAAGGTTACATATGCCTCCGTAATAGTGGAAACAGTACATGAAAAACAGTGTTAAATGAATGCCTAGACAGCTGAGTGGTAAGAAAATATTAACACAGTTAAGCAGAGAACTAAGTGCGTAAGTCAGTGTTTGACTGACTTAATGTTATAAAGGAAATAAACTGCTAGCTGAGAAGTGAATGAAGTACTTCCAGAAACAGAGCGCAATGCTGTTTCTACAACCCTCCCTCTCCAGATTAGTTCAAAAAATTTAGATTGCCAATAGCAAAAATGCAGAGTAGATTAGATGTAATTTCTTTTCTTTAGAAGAGAAATCTTTAGAAGACACTTCCAAAACATACTTGTCTGACAGAGTCATTAAGGAGTGAACAAACTAGACAGGCTTAGCTGGGAACTAGCTTAATGATCTTATCTGATATAAGCTTAAGTGAAACTTATCTATTTATAGCCTAATACTATATTTACCACTTCTTCCCTTAGTCTTTCTCTTTTCTGTTACCGCTCATATTTTGCTGCTTCTTGCATTTTCCTGAAAATGAATTGCTTCTTTCTCCCTGATCAAGGCAGTAAACTGAAATGTAAAATTACCTAAATCTTGTAATTATTGCACTATTATTATTTTTTCTTAACAAATGGAACACCAGAAGAAAAGATTGTTATTAAGGTATATGATGTACACTTACTTACTGAAATGCAACTTTCTAAAGTTACATTTACTTTTTTTAAAAAATTTAATATTGGTCCTGCTTTCTTTTCAACATTACTTCACTGCATTACTTCACTTTTCAACATTACTTCACTAAGCCTTAAGTGGCTTAGCTGTAAGTAGCCTGGTTTAGTTACAGCATGGGTATGTAAATGGCTAAGGTTAATGTGGGTCAGCTGTTCATGCAATCTTTTCCACACATTACCACATATATTAACTACCTTTCTTCCAAATTTGAATTAAAAGGAAATTAATAAGAACCTCACACACCATTAACATTTGTTAGATGGACAACCAGGTATTTTGGTAATTAAATCATCCCGCCTCAGCAAGAGCAAAGCCCAAGTTAGAAACAAACCGGATAGAAAGACGGCATCTCCCTGCCTTCGGTTCCTCARCTGATTAGGCAGGAATGCAAACAACTCACTGTGCAAGATGCACCAGCTCATTTCATAAACACTTGAATTTCAGCTGAATTTGCTGGAATGAARCATCCTGCTTTTGGGCAGAAACAGCAATGGCAAAGAGAATAATTTAATATTTAATGAGCTAGTAAAGCTTTATGACCAAAAAATGAAACTTAAATGTATTTTAGGCTTCTTTTTAAAATYGATATTCCTGCTATTTCTTACCTCCAGTAAAGATACCTTTGCTAAATGACTGAAGAATATGACTATATCCTRTATGGTTTTGCCATACAGTTCCCAACAAAAAACACTAGCTGACCTGCAGAGGTTATGTGCTTTTTGACATCTATTTTCTAGTTGAAAAAATAGTTTCAAATTGATCACTGATTTTATAATTATTTAGATACTGTATTTATAGCTAGTCTAAAAGAAAAGAAGTTGAACATTTAGCATGGACTTTGCCACTGACATTCAACTACCTGTCCCCACGAAGGCAGCATGGAGCCCTCCACACCTTAGCACTTCGGTTAAAATCTCCTTTTCTTCACATCATCCCTTAGCACCTCTTACATTCCTCCCAAGAAGCYGTTGATGTGGGAAGGTACCAGTCAACTGGGTATTCACCATACAGAAACTATGCGAGTAAAGCGCTCATAAGTCTCCTGAAAGAAACCGTTCTACCCCTTTTGCAGAGGGTGTTTGACAAGAGGAATTTCCCTAACGCAGTTAGTGCATCGTAAATTTACACTCCAGCCTAATTGAACAGTAGCGTCCTTATGCAGTTAATGCCTTTTCTTCCAATTCCATCATGCTCACACAACATTCATTTTTGTTATTTTGTGTAATTTCAAAGAAATTCCTCACGAATTAACCCATGTTTAGCTCCACTCTTTTTTCATTTCAAAATAGCTCTCACTTAAGAGAGCACACATCCTAGAAACACATGCATTCCCCTTACTGCAACAACATGGGGCCAGAGAGGTGTGAAATAAAAATGAGTCTTTACTTTTAGACTATAGCAGATCTATTGTTCCACATCACTACAGGGTCCTTGTGCTGATATGTCTTAGTTCATTCAAGAAACTGAAGCAATTCTGCCTCCCCTACGAAACGGGCTTTGTCAGCACACRCACCAACAGCCCCTCTTCACTAAAATACTTCATTTAAATGCCTGTGAGGCATTTGATGGAGGCACTTCCCTCCATCAGGGCTACAAGCACCCTGACCAGCATGGAAATATAAGCAAGGAATAGAAGAACTGTAACAAATCCAGTGAGCGCTAAGAAATGCAAGGCAGGAGAAACAGAATCACCACACTATCATGCTTTAGCACAGGAACAGGTTGTCATGAGGAACAAAAAGGGGGAAAAAAATCAGCAGAATATTTTTAACAATTTTATATTGCAGTGAAAACGGGATAGAACATAAGACATGTTCAGAACTACAGGACTTTGCTGTTGCAGAAGAAGCCTACTCTGAATTATGGAAAGTCTTTAGAGCTTCTAAAAAGCTGCAGAAATGTTAGAATAARGCAAGTTGCCAGGGAAGTTAAGGGACATATAAATAATTGTTAATAGTTCTAACTTCCATCAAAGTKTAACACGATATGATATCATAATTTCTGTAAATCTATTAACTTTCATTTTAAAGGTGAAGAAAGAGACCAGTAAAGGTAGCAAGTATCCATTTTTTTTTTTTTAAAAACATGGATTTTATTATTACGGTAACAATGGCTGTAATTGAGACATACAGGTCAGGAACTTTGTCCAAGTTGCTAAGAATCTGGCAATCAGCAAATTCTATATCAACTCCAAATTAAAAACAAGTTCTGCAAAGACGATGAGAACAAAAAAACCCTGCATTTTCAGAAACTCTGAAAATGCACTCACCTTGCCAGACACAATCTTCTCATAAATCTGGATGGGCTGATCTGCAAAGAACGGGGGATATCCAGCTGCCATTTCATAAATTAACACTCCTAACGCCCACCAATCCACTGCCTTGTTGTAACCCTGGAATAAAAATGARAATACTATTGTTTGCATCATTTTTAACACAGTGCAAGATTTCCAGAACATCTGTAAAATACAAGGAAAGCAAAAACACTCATGCCTGTTTAATACAGAACTTGCCGCCTAGCTCAAAACAAGTTGCAGCTCTCAAATGTCAATAGCTTGTATTCCCAAAACATAACTCACTGGTGAACCTGAAACATTTTGTGCATATTCCTGTGCTGAGTTTCAGAGATACCTTTACAAAGGTGTAACAACTGTGTGTCAGAGATGAGCACGACTGTTTCTCTTCATATTAAAGAAATATTAAAACTTTTCCCAAAACTTAAAGAAACATCACTGCACATAAGAGTACTTCCTATACTGCATAATGTTGTCTTTCTAGTTGGTTACTCATATTTCAGTATACTRGAATTTTCGTTTTCAGTAAAACTAGTTATTTATGTGAGCTTAAAAATGCAGTTACTTAGCTGTGGTTGATCCATTTATGACACGGTCTTCAAAAGTCTGAGCATAAAGTCATTAAATAAATCCTACTTAGTAGTAAAAACAAAAGGCAATGTATCCCTCGGACCTGCTGTTGTGATAAGGACACTAATTAAATAACCTAAGCTACAGCTTCTTTASAGCCTGTTTTCCCTTGCAAGTTATAACTTGTGAAGTTACGCATGCGAGAAGCATATGTAGAGCTCTGTATTGCTGTACAAAAACCCTGATATGCAGTAGTTTTTAGTATACTAGAAAATATTTGGATCAATCCTACTGTGTATACTTCAGTAACAGTTCACTAGTCAAGACTTGATTTTCAGAGCATCAGCAAATGTTTAAAGCTCAGAGTTTAATAATTTATGGATAATTTTTAACTGCATCTAATACATAGCCTGAACAACAACATAAACCAGAAGAGCACCTTGCTGAGGATTATTTCAGGTGCCAGGTATTCTGGAGTTCCACATAACGTCCAAGTTCTTCCTTTTACCCTTTTTGCAAAGCCGAAGTCTGTGACCTGCCATCAGTAGAAAAGGAAATGATTGTAATTACACTTTTCCAAAGAAACTAAAAGATAAAATTATGCAGAAATGAATTTTATATGGAGATTGCATGGTATCATATTGTGAGTTACATTTTACATAGTCAATTTTCCTGATATTTCCATTCAGACAAAATTTTTTAGGTTTCTCATGATAAAACAAATAAATAATGCAAAATAGATATTCCCAAAGYCATACAAGCTACTATTTATAATGCAACAATCAGCGGGAACTATGACTTATTCRTCTCATCTATGTACTGTAATTACATTAATCATTTTTTTCCTTATACTTTTCACAAACTGTTTATATTGTTGAAAGTTGAAGAATGCGAATGTGAACAAGATATTTATCTTCTCCTTTAGTGGAGAAACAAATGGGACGATGAAAAGGGTCAAGATACCAATGAGTCTCATAAATTTGCAAATTTTTTATTGCACAAGTGTATAAAGGTTATATGGAAACTACTGTGGGAATTAGACAACAGAAAAGAAGTCTTCCAGTAACTTCTGCCTCTGAGCATTATTCACAGCATTGCCAAAGTCCAGCTTGTTTATCTGCATATCTCCCAGGGAAACGTTATGGAGTAACGCAATGTTTCCTGACAAATTAAGCAGTAATTGTGCTCACAAATGGCAAACTCCTGGTCATTACAAAACCTTCTTTCCACTTATGTTTTCTGGTGAACTTTCTCAGCACTTTCCATACTATCTCGTCATCTCTATGGGATTTTTTCTGTACTATATTGCATAATACATATAGAAGCCAAAAGAATACAAGTGAAATACTGAGACTAGGTTCAAGCTATGACAACAACAGCTAACTATGCCATAGCCTGGGCTGCTGGCTCTGACACACTTCTGTCCCATAATCAGTTAAACAAGTCAAACTTGACACAACTCAGCTTTCACTGCAGCTTTCATACAAACACCACCAATGATGCCTGTAACTAAACAGCAAGGGTAACACAAGGTTCACAACATAGACCTGTTTCAGTCAACACCAAAGTACTTGTGTKGTTAGGAATGAGGATCAGTTCATGTGAGAAAAATGCACTGCACACATGGCAAGCACAGAAATGGCTGCAAAACTCAAGGAGGAAAAACACATGGACACTTGTTCTCTACAAGAAATCAAACCGGAGCTGCAGTATCAATGTATGGGCAAAAAAGCCCTTCTCTGTTCAGCAGTGGCAGCTAACCAACTTGTGTGGGAAGACTGACTGCTGGACCTGTTATCATTAGTGCTTGGCCACCACCATGGCACATCACTGCACATGGAAGAGTCAAAAATCCCGCAGGAAATTCCAGATAACTTCCCATTTACAGCACGCCCCAACTGCATTAACAAAATCTATTTCTTTCCTTTCTACAGTGCTATTTTGTTCTGAATACAATTTTATTTTACAGTTTGAAATAACAAAATATGAATCCTTCCCACTCAACAAACAATTTTATTATGAATTTTTCTGTTTGATTCTGGCAAGGCAGGACACAAGAGGGAAGAAGCTTTGGCTGTATAAAGACTGCACAGCATTGCAGAGTGGTTGCTGCTGTCTTCCTGCTTGTCTCRTTTTGATTACATAAACACAGGAACTAAGAGGAAGACGAGGGGGTGTGTGAGAAGATCTAAAACAGAAGTCATTTGCAGCACYGCAATTCTGAGATGCTCTCTTATAGCTGAGATTTTGAGCATATTCAGAGCAGGACTCTGACGATGTAGAATCCAGTATGAACCTAGGAAAAAAGCAAAAACAAAAACAAATAGCTGGTCTTTACCATACTGTAATATCAGCTACACACACACACACATGTCAAAAACTGCTTACCGACATCCTCCACAGTTCTACTGGCTGACCGAAAATCAGACTTTAAGGAGGCAAGGCCAACTGCGAAGCGGGAGGACTGCGTTTCCAGGCCCATGGCAGGGAGTTCTTGGTCCTTTATTTGCTGGGTGTCTTGTGCAATGAAGTCTGATCTCCAGACATATTTGCATCYTCAGATCCACTGTTAGTATCAAGTYCCCTACATCRTCTTCAGAGGCCTTCAAAACGTCCTTCAGGATCCCGAAACAAAACCTTGTCCAGCATCTCAATAGGGGCAGGTATTGGGCACGTGCAGTTATGGAAGGCCCAGTCTTTGTGCTCTGCTTTCGTGTAAACAACTCCTATATACTTGATCTTAGCTTAGGAACATTCCACTTGACCATCTGGTCTGGTGATGGTGACAGAAGGGTTTTGTCAGCAACATTTCACCTTGAAGGCTTCCTGCACTTGCCCTTCTCTCCAGAAGAGAAGGAAGAGGGGACCACAAGACACCCCTGGTATGCAGCACATAAGGCATTGCACCCATCTGCTTTTGACTTCGGAGGCAATTGAGCACTAAGAGAGTGAATAAGACTGCAAACCAGAGTATTTGAAAAGACACAAATAGCCTATCATCAAGGATGGAATTCATTTCCCCTCATTTTGGAAATCCATATTGTAAATGGCTTATAATCCAGACTCTTCCATTCAATGGAAAGAAGCAGACAGTGCTAGAATCTGATTCACTTGATCTCAGTTATTTATACTAGGAAAAATGAATCATGTCCTGAAGTCATATGTTTCTCTCCACTGGAAATACAGGGAATATAGAAAATAAATTGTAAAAAGATATTACAGACACCACTTTGAAGACATCTGCATTTGGACAGGTGGATCTCATCTCAAGTCCTGAACACMACTGTAAATAAACTAGTACCAGGTGCAAATCAGTGCAAAGAAAAAGAACCCGAGAACCATCAGGACAACTGAATAGAGATAGATGTGTCTACACAGACATGAGTATTTACTGAGTACTTCAAAACAAGCTTTTGCTTTTTCAGTAGGAGTACAACATACAAAGTGACCTGCCAATTACTACATTCAGAAAGTGGGATCATGGGAACAGAAAACCAACAAAACAAGGAAAAGCCACYCTAAGTTTTAACTATTCCATGAGCTCAGTATGAAATCACCTGCTCACCACGCAAGTTGCTCAAGTACTATTCATTCAAAATTACTTCATAAAGCAAAAAAATCCAAAAAGGCAACATAAATGCACAGCTTCACCACAAAGGTATTTTGTTATGTGGATGACAAGGAATTTCAAGTGAAAAATCATAACTTCAGCTGCTTTCAGTATCCTCCCAAGCTGGGATGCGTTCCCATCAAATGATTACACATGTTCATCTAGAAGCTATTATTTTCAAGAACATCAACGTGAAATTATTAATATATAACCTTTTAAGAAATGTGTTATATGCAAAACTTACCGAAAGCACAYGAGTTGCAAATAATCCTTTTTGTTATCCCAACTGCAAACTATCCTGAATCATTTGCAGTTCTATTCATGCTTTCAGGTCATGAGTGGATAAAAGACATATTTTGTTTTTTAAATTTCAGTTATAGGGTTGATGACTCAAAGTTGTCTAAATAGTAATTTTCCTTTCCATTGTTTGAAGAGCTGTAGATCTAACTTACTAGAGGCAGATGCAAATAAGGCCTACAAGAGGTTTCCTGAAATTATAATGTCTTACAATTCTTTCTGACAGTTGCACTGTATGAGGCTAATGCATCTATCTGTATTTGAGTACCTGCAGGTTGTTGCTTTCAAAGAGAATTCATCAGGAAAAGTTTTTGCTTTATTATGTTTCTGTGCATCTATCAAGACTGCACATAAACTTTTGTTTCCACAAAAAAACCACAATTTTTTTTAAATTAAGCTTATTATGCAAGTAAACAATAGCAATAGTCATCACATGAAGGTAGCCCCTTCGCTCAGATATCCAGTACCCTACTCCACAAGCTTCCTTCCCTCAGTGTGCCTCAGGGCCACACTGGCAGCACTTACCTGTGCTTCTTGCTGCCTGGCTTCTCTACCTGTGGCTACTGTCTGGAGGGATTCTGCTCATGGTACACTTGGGCTCCATGCACAGGGAAACTTCCTTTTTCTGCTCAACTCGGCTCTTTTTCCAGGTTCCCTGACAAAATTAGGACTCTCCAAGAATRGGATTCATTCAATTGAAATCAGGTACTTACTGTAGATGCCAGCATCCAAACTGGCCAGTCCTAAGGCACTTTTCAGCTGATGTGCAAAATAGGTCAAATGGACAGAACCATACAGATATCTGCTTCTCTCCATAAATCATGAGGAAAATCTTGACAGCTTGCTCAAATGCAGATCTCTCCACCAAACATAATTTTAGCCAGAAGAATTTAAACCCAACAGTTTCAATTGTTAATTATGTCATAGGGTATTTTCATGTTCCCTGAATATAAGTTAAGAAGCAGATTCAACAGATCACTTATTTTAAACACATATATCTTAAAATTATGTAGCCTACCACACAAGGCTCCTCTCCCTAAATATATGAAGGATTTCATACCTGGATGTATCCTTGCTGATCAATTAAAAGATTTTCAGGCTTTAGATCTCTGTAGATGAGGTCTAATGAATGGAGGTACTCAAATGTTAGCACTATCTGAGCTGCATAAAATCGTGCATGTGGTTCACTGCAAAGAAGTAAAACAGTATTAAGCGTCCCCACACTATACTAAGATAGTGAGTTAACCACACAATTGTCAGGAACAGACTATCAAAATATCTTCTAACTGTTTCCTTTACTCAGTAACACAAAAAAAGTAAAGAGGAAGCATTTTGTAGTTAGAACTTTTCTCTAAATCTAGTTTCTTCAGATTTTTCTTTTAAATCACACAGTTCAATTAAGATGAATGTATGTTACAGCCTAAAACTTGCAGAAAAACTCACATTTTTATTTTAGAAACTGATCAGTTTCAGTATGAATATTACTTCCAAGATTATATCTTGCATAGATCATGAAAGCCTGCATTAACTAACTTAATAGTAATAAAAGTAATTACAAGTTTTGTACTGTTTGATTATTTTAGTATGCTGAGAAAAGGCAAAATAAAAAGCACTTAYCCCTTTAATATTTTTCATCTTTCCTTTCTTCTCTTTCATGAAACCCTCTCTCCTCTCACAAATTAGCAACATAAAGCCTTTCTAAAGGAATAATATCAATAAGACTCTTACCTGAACCTTCCGATTCTTCTTAGATGCGAAAACATTTCACCACCAGGGACATACTCCATTACCATGTATAAATTAGAATTATCCTAAGGAATCAAGTAAACACATGTGAGATATTAGACTTTCTATAATCTTTTTGAAACACTTCCCAAGTGCAAAAGCTTTTATTGGAGAATGAACAAGAGGAAAAAATAAAAATCCAAWTAACAAATGGAAGGTAACACAGTAGAAATTCTTGAAATAGTGCAGACRCACTTCACTTGACCAAAGGAATGACCTAATCTTAATAAATCTGTTTCTGTATAAATTTGGAGCACACACATCACTTCATTAGCAAAACAGTCAATCTTTACAGATTGCCTAGTGCATACAGTCTTGAARCTTATCTCAGAGTTCTTCCTTTCCTGACTGAGATTGTCATTAAGACTTGTCTCGTGTAAATCTCTCTCAAATATCTACAGAACAATTACAAATTTTCCCTATTTTTTGTTTAAGTATATGCTTTGGTTTCTTCTCAAAGATTCTCAAAGTTCTGGTATATGCCACTTCTGGCAATATAAAACATTATGAAACACCAGTCGATTTTTGGCCAAGTGGAGGAGAACACGAGCAGCCCCTCAGCTGCTTCTGTGCRAGCTCCTGTATCTTAATCTACAGCTGCCTTTACCAGCTGGAGATATATAATACATTCCAATAATTATATTTCTATGAAATTTCTATGAAATTATTGTATTGTCAAGTTAATGCATTAATGACAAAAGTTTGAGTGCACACCTCCCTAGAACCCAAACCACCACTTTCAAAACAATGATTTACCTTAAAAGAATACTCCAGTCTTACAAGAAAAGGGAAGTTCACTGCTTGTAATATTCTCTTTTCATTCAGCGTGTGTTCTATTTGCTTCAGYTTGACAACCTAGGAAAGGGAAATACAGTCTTCATTTTAACCATGGCATTTTGTTAATTTTATTAAGTTTTCAGTGTAATTCAGTTACTTGAAAGCAGACTCCTGAATTCACAGATAGCACTGAGAAAAGATTAAAAAGTGTAATAATGTTGTAAAAAGGAATACTCATGGAGCATGGCTTGCAGGTGACTCCAGAAATCCCCAGGGAGTAAAAAAATCAGTAAGGAAAACACTCTGTACAAATCTTCTGCAGCAGATGATAGTGTAATAAAAATGATTCCATCTTTGGACTCTTTGCTAAGAAGTCAGACAACCACATGAGACATGTAATTAGGAATTTAATACGAAGGGGGAAAAAAAAGAATACTACCTTCTCCTTGACATTGGTCACAACGCTAAGCTACCAAGGACCAGAATTCTGATCACTGCTCTTCCTCACAGCCAGGACTTTTTTTTTAAATTTCCCTCTCTTCAATTTCACTTAAACCCTAACACTTTAATAATTTATATCTTATTTTGAGAGTGGCAGGAAACACAGGTTTTTTGTGTGGTTTTTTTTTTTATATTTTTTTTAAAGCATGCAGAAGAACACCTACAAGGCTGTCAAAACAAGTCATTGTTTTTGATATCTGGAAGTCAAACCTAACAGGCAAGAGAGATTTGCAAGATATGTCAACCCTGACTGCAACTGTTTAACATCTTTTAGAAATAAAATATATATACCTGTATGTGTCATAGCTTTTTTTTATCTATTTTTTTCCTTTCTATAAGCAATTACATAAGGAAACTCACCAAGCAGCATCATGTTACTGACATGCTAAATAAAGGCCGACAAGTGAGGGAATAACAACCCTACACACACATCTGCTGGYTTTTTTTTCATGTCCAGATAATATGGAAAAAAATGAATTTTTCTTTTTAACCAAATAATATGATCCTATAGCAATGAGTATAAAATAAACTGGAAAGCTATCAGCTCAATCTAATAAACTTTACGCAACATAGAGCCTGTATTTAAATCTAACTTGAAATGTGGCAGAACAATTCCTACAATATGCAATGTATGCAATATGTCTTATACAGTGCTTTCTTGGGGCCTCGAAACAAGCTCTTCTGCAGAGGCTGGTTTTCTCAGCAATCAAAAATAGCAGTAAATACATATGCATGGACCCATAAAGCCTTTTTCCTAATCATCTAAGCTCACCAGCTCCCACTGAAGCTGTCAGTTCATTTGTTGAATAAAAACAAAGAATATGAATTAAAAATGCTCTGCAATGAACAATAAAATACATCATACTGTAAAATCAAAGAAACTCAAAGGCCAAACAAAAAGCACCCCTAGAAGCAGAAAAGGTTCATTGTGGCAGGATAAAAATAATGAGCGATGGAACRTTTCATTCAGATTACAGATGCAGATTTGTAAACTTCACATATTCTGCTTCTAAAGCTACACCTGCACCAGAAAAAAAAAAAATCAAAGAAAACCACTACAAATGACACCAACCTTCTGTTTGTCCAGTATCTTCATAGCATAATACTGTTCTGTGGATTTATGTTTCACCAACATAACTCTCCCGAATGATCCTGTTCCAAGAGTTTTTTGCCTTTCAAAATCATCTAGGCCAGCAGTATTCTGTATGTACAGGCACAGAACAACATTATTTATAAACTGGCACCCAAACACAATTTTAACTAGATGCAATGAAATAGTTTATTAGAAGGTTTGAGTAAAATTGCATTTATCACAGAAGACAAACTAATGTAATTTCAAGCCTATGAAGTTTTAAGAAGATATTTGATATTACACTGATGAATACAGAAAAAAAAATTAACTGGATGATACCAACATTACTGTAATTCATCAGTAGAGATGACACATGCTCAGTGAGAAGAACTTGAGCTGTAAACAGCTCAGGGGTTTAACATACAGCTAAATAACCACAAATAAGCATATTAAAGTCTGCAAAAAACCTTGAACCTAGTTCAATAGACAACWAAGTGAGAGCTGTCTATAGATCACATCATTAAGTATTTTTTTTCCAGGTATTCATTACTATAGCATTTCAAATACTGATACTTTTTTWAAAAAGTTTTAAACAAAAAGGAATTAAGAATTTGTCTCTAACTTGGTCCTTAACGCCCTCTCCTATCCCGCGTCATAGACTCCTTCTTAACACTACAGGGGAAGTTGTTAACAAGGTAAATTGCAGACTTGCCAAAGCTTAGTATTACAGAGAGCCAGCTGAAAGACGTTAACACATTTGGAGCCCTCTCGGGCTGATTGTACACCACCTCCTGGGTACCAGGAAGCTGCTGTTGAGTGCGACCATTCCACCACCTCCGGGTTCAAGACCGGAGAAGAAACACAAGTCTTTGATGACTCAGCTTAAGTGATAAAACAGATATTCAAAATGGAAACTTCTCTTAAAAACTACATTCAAGTTATCTTGGCTTTCTGCCTTGCTCATCTCAGACTGCTAATACATTATCAAAGGAAAAAAAAAAAAAAAAAAAAAAANAAAAAAAAAAAAAAAAAAAAGCAATGGAAAAGATTACCGGAAGTTTAAATGGGTTATACCTGAGGAGGGCTTTCCCATTTTCTTAAAAAATCTTCTTTGGCTTTGGCTAGGAACTCTTTCACTGAGAAGACACAGAGAAAGACATTCTTATTAATGTACTTCATCATGGACGCAACGGACGTGGTTCTTTAACAAATTATATGAACTTAATTCTTCAAGTGAGCTCCAGCATTTCTAAAAGTTGGACAGTGTCTGGAGGTAATCTCTAAGCCTTCTAGGGTAACTATTTGCTCTACACAAGTCTAACTACTTCAGCTCTAATAACTCACARCACTCTACACGCAAGCAGGCTTTAAGGTGACATACAGCTTTCTTAAATGGCCTGGCAAAATAAAGCCCCCAAACATTTGGCATTTATGAATCACCATGCCACAAAGATTACTACTTTTTTAATTAAAAGTTAGTTTTTTTAAAAAAGAATGATCATAATGTCATTCTCATTGTCTTTTTTTTTTTTTCCTCCCCTTCTCCAACCATCACCTTTATTTAAAGGCTGTTTGCAAGCTCAGGTACCGTATGCACAGCATTATCGCAAGCAAAGACAAAACAGGTCTACAAAAACACTGCACATTAGATATGCCCACAAGTCAAAGAATAAACACTTTAAATATTAATCTTGAACGAAGATTATAACAATGAAATAATAGCAAGTTTCTGGCTGTTTAAAATGTGCACCAATATATTTTATTCAGATAATCTTTCAGATTTTTTTTTTTTTGAATATTATCATCAGGCAGTTCAGTGTAGATTACTTAATGCACAGTCACAAGCAAAAGGGTTTCAGGCTTGGCTGAGATTCTGTAGAACTGAGAATAAAACATACTAGTTGTGTCCTCCCTGAACCATTTCATGTCATATCACATTAATAACATTGCCTTTTCTGTAGTATATTCCACCATAAAACATATTTCTGGAAACATTCAGAAATGTGCTAAGCCTATTCTGGGTGAAGCCTTGAAATAAACAGTCTAGTAATTGCGTTTTATCTTCTGGTGCTCATAAAATCCAGCTCTACGGCCGACCGTAAACGAYGGTCATCACATGAGCTGGGTATGTGGGTGCTCCCCTCGCGGGGGCAACACCGGGACCCCCGGGCCCGCTCAGGCCTCGGCTCCCGCGGGCCGTTCTCGCYGGGGCCGAAGGAGCAGGGAGGGCAGCAAACGCTCGGGGAGCTCTGTGGCTCCCGGCACCGCGGCGCCGACGGAGCCGCGGCCGAACAGGGGCAGTGATGGAAAACTGCAAATTAGCTAGGGCAGACCCAGAGATCTGTGAGGTGTTTGGCTCAGGGTATCCAGTCAGCAATATTAGTCTAAGAGAAAGAAGTAGTATTGGAGATGAGGAGTGTATTTRTTGCCTTTAACTTAAGGATACATAGATTAAGAAAAACACAATTTTCATCAAAGGAATTATTTAAATGGATATGAAACCTGACTGGGAGTTATCAGTGTTAAGCGAGCAACCAGTATAAGTTTGGCAAATTTATCCCAAATAGGAAAAATAGGTCTATTGTTATTAAAATAAAGTGGTTACTTATTTAATGGCTTTTAATGATTCCAATTTTAGAAAAGAGTGTGATTTCCTGTGTCATGAAAGGATTTCCTGCTACAAAAAGGAAAGCTAAGAATGACCCAAGCACTGACTGACAGCTCTTCTTCCACCAGGAGAGCCAAGATCATGACTATGGCAAAGCTTTTAAAAAAATCAATTTCCGTCAGAGTAACATGAACATTATCTTAATGACAGGAAAAAAATAAGATGGCCATTAAGATCACAAAAAGCTGAGCCTTCAAACTTAAGCAGCTGGAGCTTAAAAGAGAACATTAACTTTGCTTTAACACTGTAGAGCACAGTGAAAACACAAAATAATTTCTGTTTGTTTCATGGGTTTTTTTTGAGCATACAAAGAATAATCATGTTATTACAGTACATTTTTGGTCTTAAATATCCCTCATGAAACTTCCATTGTTCACATGAAGAAATATTTTAAATTCCCACATCTTTTGCATTCAAATCTAATTGCAAATATACAACAGCATTTACATGTAATCATCTCTGTCTCTGTTCTGCTTAGGGGATGAAGAATGCTGCTTATGAAAAAAATGACATCCAGATGGAGATACTCAAAATGTTGAAGCAATGGAAGGAAACAACACCCTATGATATCAAGAAGTCACAAGCTCTCCTTCAGCACAGAACTWTTTTCTTACTCTGCATCACTTCTGTCCTTTCACTTGGAAAGCAGCCCTCAACATGTATTTTCAAAATAAATTTATCCAAAGGCATATTTTTAATTCCTAAAATCTGTATCTTTGAAAAAAGAAAATTCACATTCCATAATGTGTTTTATAGGAATTGCATTTCCTCCTTAATGAAAGGAGGCTCAGCTTTTGAGAACGCTGCAAYGTGCTGGAAACCTGGCTCACATTTTCCCAGGTCCCCGGGGCTCCACAAGCCTGTACCAGTCAGGGGGTCATCCCTGAGAGAACTGGGGCAACTGCGCATGTGAAGTCACTGCTGAAAGTGGGACTGGGATTCTGAAACAGAATAGGGGCTTTTGAAAAATCTGCATACATAAATATTAGCTTTTGCACCAGAAGAAAATGCTTTATAGCATGGATTTTTATCTAAGAAGTAGGTAAGCGATTGGCAGAGGTCACTGGCRTCACCATGATGATCCAAAGATGCATTAAACAGACTTAGAAGTTTTCCTCAAGTGCACATTTTCAGCCACTAAACATTATTATGATGCAACATCTGTTCACTCTTCTGGTCTTTAAACTGTTGCTATTATCAGTGACTTGGGGCTCTAATGAAAGAATGAGCATACCAAAGGTCTCTACAGGTTCCCCAAAGGTTTGCAGGAACATTCACCCACACAGATGAGATGATGAAGAGAGGAAAGAAAGAGAAAAAAAAAAGTTTTATGCATTTCCACAACAAACACATAGAAAACACAAGTACATTCCCCCATTCCCCCTTTGGAGCGGGCTCGGGAGCAGAGCAGACCTTTCCCACACAGACAGAATGACTCACGTTAAGCCACAGAACGGCTGAGCAGAAAGTATCAAATGAAAAAAGAAAAAAAAAGCAGCTAAATTCAGTATGAAAAAGATGATGCATCACAGAAAGCAGCACGTTTTACAAAACCTCAAGAAAAATTAAGCTCTCCTCTAATTATTAATCTATACCAACCAACAAATACCCATGGAGCTGCTGCTCAGAAAACTATACCCATCTTAATCGTACCATGCTGGATCCCAATAAAACCTGTAACCAGGTGATTTTCCAACTGCTTATCACTTTGTTCCAAAGACAGCATGTGACAGATTGCACAGCATGTGGTCGATGGCTCAGAAATGGTAAGCAATCTTCAAAATAATTCACAGCCAATTTTAGTCCCATTACCCAACAATGGAGCAAAGTCCCTCGGAAAGCCTAGCCTGCCCAGGGAACTTACTGCGTGTCACCTGGAATGCATTCTTGAAAATTGTGTAAGCTGTATACGTGCATGATTTTATTTGATAACGCTTTTAAAAAAAATCTGGAAATGGATTTGAGCATAGATTCCTGTGTCATGTGTGAAGAAGGCAGAGTTACTTGTATGGCAGAGCAGAATGAAGGTGCTGGTGATCCCGGAGAGCACAGGAAGATCAGCAGGCAGCCCTACCCAGGCTGCTCCCACTGCCGCAGCAGGAGCTGAAGGAGGTGGGAACTAGAGGAGCAACAAGGAGCAGCCCAAGGAAGCAGCGCTGAGGGGTCACAGCAACACCCCGGACGTGGCACAGAGCCCGTGTCGAGGGGCCAGAGACCCGCAGGGTGCACCCACCTGCATGCACGCACCTGCACACCTATACACATGCACATATGCGCGCATACATACCCCCCCCATACACATACATGCTGTGGACCTCTCCTCTCACGGCCAGCAAGAACCACCGCCAGCAGCAGAAACGAGTGCTGTGAAATGCAAACACCTAAAGCACGGAATAGGACATTTATAGTAGGAAAAGGTCTTCAGAAATGGGGTAACTGTTTGGGAGCTAAAAGGCAAAGTCTAAAAACAGCTGGAAAGCCAAACCAAGGCAATTCTGCAGGTCCACACGCAGCTGCCAGGCGAGGGGCCGCTCGGGTGCCCTGGACGATGCAGGCCTGGCCTGAGGAGAGCTGCATGTGCAGGGGAAACCATGCTGCGCAGGACAGGGCACCAACAGGGGCTGCTGAGGGCAGCACAGAGCAGGACGGAAACACAGAAAACACATGGTTGAATTTGCCACGTGAAACACCCATCCACACACCGCAAGGCAGGCMAGCCCTGGAAGCACCCGTGGATACTCCATCATCCCACGTAGTTCCCCATTGGCTTCTCACCTGCTACTAGCCAAAAGCTGCTCGAACCTGCGTCTGCACTAAGGCATCTGGGCACCACGGGATGAAGAGGTGCTCGGAAAGAGCAGCCCAGGGGAAAACTAAAACTAAAACCCAACCGCACAACCCCAGCAGGCCAGGACTCGAGTTCAGGTTGCAGGCATCACTGCTCCTCACTTCCTCTCTGAGRAGCAGTTTTATTTTCTGGTTTAGCCCATATATGAAAAGCCAGTAGGATTATTCAAGAAAGAGCAACCCCAAAGAGCACATGGGCRAGCAGGGCAGCCGTGAACCCCATTTCAGAGGGAGCGAAAGGCAGCAGGAGCTGCAAGAGCAGTGGGAAAGGGGCCTGGATGGAGCAGCCCTGGACACAGCCTGAACCCTGGGCATTTCTGCTGCTGCCCAYGCAGCATATCTGCTATTCCCAAACGCACCATATCTGCTATTCCCAAGCACTTCTCCCACGAGAGGCAGAAATTCTGTTTTGGGGGGAGAAAAAGMGGGTTTGGATAGGATTCATGGGAAAAAAGCAAGGACTAAACTGATTAAGACTAAACACTGGGCACTACCACAAACCCCCATCTGCTGTGCTAAATGCCAGTCTCTGCTCGATATTTAAAATGCTCTTCAACAAATACAATTCAGCCTCAAAATTGTAATATAATCGCTTGAAATCTGGAATTAAATGGGCTATAA